CTAAGATTGAGTGGGATTTAAAATAGCTTTCAGAATAGTACCAGCCCAGTGGAAAGAGTGCTGAATGTGGAGTCAGAGGCCTTGTGTCCGAATTTTGGCTTTGCCACTTACTACCTACATGATTTTGGACAAATCGCTTCTCCTTTCTGGGTCTCAATTTTCTCATCTATAAAAATTAGGGAGGATGAATTAAACACCTTCTAAGGTCCCTTCTGCCTCTAAATCTACGATCCCTATATGCTTTGCTGCTTATAATGATTACTTCTTCTTTTTCCTTTACAAATTGTGGACTTAGCCTGCTAAGTCAGGTAACTAAGATATTACAATCTTAAATCAAAACAATTTCAGATAAAGATTGAAATGGTGCCATGATTTCAACTATAGATTTACATGCCACTGGCTACTACTCTGTGTTAGCTGCTTGGCTGGTCTTAGTCCTTTATCCAAGGCAGATGATCTCTAAGGCTCTTTCTAGCTTGAAATCCATGATTTAATAATGACTTGGGGAAAGAACAGATTTTGGCTTGGATTAGCCTTCAGGTGCCCCAGCACGCCATTAGATTTTTTCTTTTTTTCAAAATAAATTTTACTAATATCTTTTATTGTTACATAAACTAAAATTTCCCCTGTATTCCTTCCTCTATTCTCTCTCAGGGAACTGTCCTATAAAAGAGGGAAGGAGAGAGAAGAAAAAACATAAGCAAAGCTGATCATTACATCCCCCAAAATCTGACCACATATGTAATGTTCCACAATCATAGACCTATCACCTCTGAGAAAGAATAGAAGGAGCTATTTTATCATATCTCTTCTTTCAGACCATGTATGTTCTTCCTAATTTTCCAACATTATTTTAAAAATTATTTTGTGGATTTCATTCTTTCCATTTATACTGTGGTCATCATTGTGGATATTGGCTCCTTTGCTCTGCTTACTTTGTTCCTCATCAGTTCACAGTCATCTTTCCGTGCTTTTTTATGAGTCTATTTGTGAACTCTCTGAATCAAAGGATATGGACATTTTAGTTGCTTTATTTGTGAAATTCCAAATTGCTTTCTATTAATTCACAGCTCCGTCAACCATGCATTTAGTTTGCCCACCTTTCCACAACCATCATTTGTCATTTTTGCTGAAGTGCTGAGGTAAAACCTATACAAAGAAAGGTAGAAGACCCCCCTGTCCTGAAGGAGTTCATAATTTAAAGCAACAATTTTGCAACGAGTTGCAATTTTGCAACAAGCAAACAAATGCATACAAACCAGCTACATACAGGATAGGTAGGAAATAACTAACAGAGGGAAGGCATTAGAATTAAAGTAACTCTATGGCTTCTCATTTATTCTCTGCCACCACTTTCTCCCTCAATTCTGGCAGGCTAACTAGTGAATAGGAACTTAGTAAAGGTTCTGATGTTGCAGGAGGTAAGAGCACAGTGTGGAATTACTTAAGTACACTTTCCAATGTATTAAATTTATCAAGCGTGTGAATGCAATGTATTTCCGAAAGCTTAATCAGTGATTTAATGTGACTCACAAATCGGCAGAGCAAAGCAGAGACAAATCTGATGCAAGATTAAATCTCAATGACCATGAATGATGTAGATCTATGAGTAAGCAATGAGACAAATATTTCATCTTAACTATAGTATGTGTGTGCCTATATAGATCTGTTAACTTACATATCATAAGTTATATACCTTTTATGTTACCAGTTTATTCTCTTTTCTAGACACCATGGGGAAAAAGTCACAAATAGCATGCTTCTCAAATTTACTGATGGCATGAAGCTTAGAGAGACAACTGACACAATAAATGAAAGAATTAATATCTAAAATATCTTGAAAAGCTAAAATGATGAGCTCAGTCTAATTATATGAAATTTAATTGAGATAAATATAACTACTAGGGGGCAGCTAGGTGGTGAAGTGGTTAGAGTACTGGGCCTGGAGTCAGAAAGACTCATGTTCCTGAGTTCAAATGTGGCCTCAGAGACTTACTAGCTGTGTGACCCTGAGCAAGTCACGTAACCTTGTTTGCCTCAGTTTCCTCATCTGTAAAATGAGCTGGAGAAGGAAATGGCAAACCACTCCAGTATCTTTGCCAAGAAAACCCCAAAAACAGTCATGAAGAGTAGGGTAATACTGAAAAATTACTGAACTGATAACTATTAGAGCAAAGAATGATTAGCAGAGTCTTTGATCAATTTGAAGAATTTTCAACTCCTCAACCTGATAAGTTTACAGGATATGCACCATTTGGAGAAATCACTTTGTGAAATGTGAGCATGTCCACTGTTGACATACTAATTGGGCTGTAGAGACTAGGGCCACCAGATGATAGTGGCTGATTAAGAATCAATCACTCATCCCTTTGAGCAAACTGTGAAACCAAGTCTAGCCCTTTTTCCATCCTGTCTTTATCTTCGAAACTACCCCTTCTCCTTTCCCCTGGCACCTTCTTCCAGAGTGCATCAAGTGGTGAAAAGGGAGAGAGGAGTTCTCCTTTCCCCTATGACCAAGAGCAGTACAACCCTGAATTACAGAAGAAGCATAAACTGTGTTCCCCTTTCACTTTCTAATTTATCATGAATATATTTATCTATCTCTATATGGTATTCCTCCAGTAGAATGTAAGCTCCATGAGAGCAGGAACTATTTTAATTTTTGTCTTTGTATCCCCAAGGCAAAGTAGAATACCTTGCATGTAGTAGGTATGTCACAAAAGCATTTTAGATTAGAGTTAATTTTATTAATAAACCTTAATTTTATGAAAAAAGGAAGCATAAATCACTTGTCCTGCAAAAAATTTATGAACACCTTTCATGACATGACCCCTAGCTCCTCTGTGGATTTCCTGAGACAGGGCAGTCCTTGGAGTGAGGAGAGAAATAACCCACAGAGTTCCTGTGCAGGGGCCCACTTGGAATAAAAAGCCAGTGAGTTACTGAGAAAGTGATGGTGTGAAGATCTGGTGAGAATGGGTTTGTGTGTTCATCATTCTCAGCATATCTTTACCTTAAGAGGAAGGGAGAGGGAGGGAGTGAGTGGGAAGAAATCTAAATACAGGTCATGCTACAAGTCTTAGGGAGACTTGTAGGGTTCTATGAGAAAGAACCCATAAGAATGAGAATAATTTGTCTTAGTAGCAACCACTAATTGTCATTGATTCTTTTCCAGGGGAGCAGATGGGCTATTTCAGGGCTTTATGTTTCTGTATCTGTCTGTGTACTCCAGGAAGGCCTTGGCATTTTTTGATATTTTCTATGGGATGAAATAAAGCTGTTCCATGCCTGATGTGCAGTTGGCATCTAAAAAGTGCCTATATGGGATCTGGGCCCCCTTTTGCCTATATTTGAGAAAACCTAGTCATAAGTTATACCATGGTATTTTTAGAGATTAGTTCAGGTGGGACAATCAAGGAAAATGATCTTCTTGGGGTCAGACTTCCATGATTGAATCTAATTCATGTGAATCCAAAGCCTTTATAAGGCCCTGAGCTATGACTTCTATTACATCCTAAACTTGAAATAAAAAAATTTTTTTTTTCAGAAATAATGGATGGCTAGACAAGTGAAAAATGCTTATGAATTTTAGTTGACTTCAAGATCAATTATGAGTCAATAGTAAAATGCAACAGACAAAAAAACTACCAACATCTTCTGTTGAATTAATAAAAGTATAGTGCCCAGAAAAAGGGAAATGAAGGCCCCACTGGATTTTCTTCTAGTCAGACCTCATCTGGCATACTATTTTAATTTCTTGGGACCACATCTTGTATTACAAAGGACATTGATAAGCTGGTGCATATTCAGAAAAGGCCAATAAATACTTTGATTGAGCTAGAGATTATACCATACCAAGGAGCTAGTGAAAGAACTGAGGATGTTGGGTAGAAGAATAGAAGATAATGTTAACACAATAGCAGTCTTCAAGTATTTTAAGGGCTATTATATGGACTGTGGGTTAGTCTTATTCTAGATGGCCCCGGAGGCCAAAACTTCAAGAAATGGGTACAAATTGAAAGAAGGCAGACTTTGATTTGATTGAAGGACAAATTGCATAGCTATAAAAGATTGAAATGGACTGCCTTTGGAAGAAGTGAGTTACCTGTCACTGGTAGTCTTCCTTTAGAAGCTAGATGGCCACTTGCGGAAAGTGTTGCATATGGGATTCCTTTTGAATTGCTGATTGGACTGGAAGACCTCTGAGGTTTCATCCAATTCTGAGGTATTTTTATAAGATTCTAGGAGTCAAGAGACCAGGGTTGGAATCCCAGCTCTGAAACTTATTGTGTGACCACAGGCAAATCATTGACCCACTCAGCCTCTGTTAAAGGGGGATAGTAATACACACATTAGGTTCATAATAACTTCACAAAGTTGTTGTGAGGAAAGAGATTCGTAAGCCTTAGAGTTCTATAAAAATGGGATTACTATATTTTATAAATCTATGCCTTCTTATTTTTGAATCTCTAGCTTTTGGAAAGCAGTTAACCATTTCCATTCCCCATCTTGTCAACCTGAGATATTCCTTCCCTCGCACAAATCTACAGCCGGGGCACCTCAACCCCAGAAACATTGGACACTAAAACCCCACCGCTGGCTCAGACAGAGCCATTCCAATCTTACGACAGTTCTGCATATGCCACTAACTGAAGCCAGAGGCTAGAGAGTGACCACCAGAAGAGAGTCAAAACCACACAGATGAATCCGGGCTTCACTCACCATAATGAAGAAGAACTAACGACCATCATGATGCAGTTCCTTATACAAATCATCACTGCTTAGTATGAACACACCTCCTAGTGGTTAAATTCACAGCAATCATGAAATTGCACATACAGAACTGGTAGGAGGTATTTGCCAAAGTCTCTTATTCTACTACTCTGAAAAAGTTGTAGTTACAGCAAATTTCTCAGGTGAAGGTCTGACAACCAAGATATACAGAATATCCCCAAAGTCTTAGAACCTGTTACTCATTATTACCTTTCCCCACTTCTTACCTTGTTATTTCTTACAAGGATACTTTCAACTCTGAAAGACTTTAGTATCAATCGTGAGACACGGTAGACGTGGTACAGGACAATCTAGTATGGCACGCCCACTTTTGCTCTGTGAGCCAAGAAGGATCATGGTAGTACAAAGGAAACATGAGATGTACACATACAGAGACATGTCCACCCCAAATGTTCAAACAGGCACTGTTTGTGCCTGACCTGTGGTAGAGCTTTCCACATTCATATTGGATTAATCAACTGCAGCTGAACACACTGTACTTTGACCCCAACACCATGAGGTCATTGGTCCTCTTCAAGTATGAAGGATGAACAACAACCCTTCTCCACTTGGTCTGAAAAAGAAAAACACAAATAGCAAAACAGGTTTTGTGGCTATTAAATACAAGGAGATGCTAAAATGTAATGGAAAAACATACCATTCTGGCGAGTAAAGAACTTGCTAGGCTAGTTTACCATGCTCACAGAGTCAACTTGAGCTGTTTTCCTATGATCTCTGTTCTGTTGGGTTGACACAACATCTTGGTGATTAAATACATGCTTGAACTGATCCACAGTGCTCAAAGACAGCCAACCAGCTGAAGTTTGGAGTTCTTAGGCTCAGTTGAATTAATTACTTTCCAAATTATACTCTGTATATACCGTGTGTATACCTAATTACTTACTTGTTGTCTCCCCCACAAGAATGTAAGCTCTCTGAAGGTGGGTAATGTTTTCACTATTACTTGTATCCCCAGCACCCAACACAGTGTCCAACAATAGTAAGTGCCTGAGTGCTTGTTAACTGCCTGCCTTAAGAGTAACTGTTGGCTGGAGCAGCTAGGCAGCACAGTGGATAGAGCACCAACCCTGAAGTCAGGAGGACCTGAGTACAAATCCGACCTCAGACCAAATACTTGACACTTACTAGCTGTGTGACCCTGGGCAAGTCACTTAACCCTAATTCCCTAAAAAAAAAATGTAATTGTTGGCTAAATTAAGAGGGTAACACTTCTCCAATGCCCCTTTAAAGGTGATTTTGAGTTGAAAAATATTGCAAATACTACATTAGTTCAGGTTGAAAAGAGAAGAGGATTTTCCCAGGTAGAGAACAATGGGAACCAGCAGACAAGTAAAATAAAGTACTCAATGCAAAGGAAATTAAAAATTATGGGAGAAACATAATAAATGTCTGCCAATAAGACCAGAATTCAATATAGCTGAAGAATTTTTTAAAATGATTATTTAAACTGTATACATAAGCAAGATAGACAATAGGAAGCGGCAAACTCATCAGGGACATAAGAAGGATGTAGCACATTACCGAAGATGACTTGTGTAGAAGTGGTATAAAAGAAAACGAGGTGAGCAAGGGATGACAGAAACAGTCTGGCTGCTGCGATGGACTTCCCAAATTTTAGGAGCTAAAGGAAGGCCTTCAGTCCATTAGATAGATCCTCTGGTGGAGGATTTGTGGAAGGTTTTGATCTGTACTATTGGAGGGAGTATGCACATTGAAACCATTTATCCATTTGAAGTAGTGAATATTTAGAATAATATTTAGAATATTTAGAGTTAGAAGAGAACATCTAGCCCAGAGGTTCTTAATCTTTTGGGGGTCATAGCTTCCTTTGGCAGTCTGATGAAGCCTAGGGACTCCTCCAAATAATGTTTTTAAATACAAGAAACAAAATACATAGAATTATAAAGGAAACTAACTATATTGAAATGCAGTTATCAAAAATATATTTTAAAAGTTTATATTAATAATTTGAGCCTAGAGTTGGCCTAGCAGGGGTGGGGCACCTGTGGCTTCAAGGTCATATGTGACTTTCTAAATCCTTGGGTGTGGCCTTTTGACTGAGGCCAAGTTTTACAGAACAAATCCTTTTGTTAAGGGAGTTTGTTCTGTGAAGTCTGGATTCAGTCCAAGGGCCACATGTGGCCTTAAGGCCATAGGTTCCCCACACTTGGCTAGACTATTTAGTCCAATCCCCTTCTTTCGTGAAACTTTTCCTAACATCCCAAAACTGGATAGTGGCAAAGTCAAGGCTAGAACTCAGGCCTTCAGAAGGCCTGTTTTACTCCCATCACACAGTGACATTCATAGACCTATAATATTGTGTTCTATTAGTCTCCAATTTGACAGTTGTAGTTCAAGTTACCTCAAGATAAAAAGGAGATTGTCAAAAAGTAACCGTTGATAATTAAAAAACAAACTCTAAGTATTGATTAATGAGGAAAAGGATTAATCATATGACATGATTTGATTAACTAAAAAATATTAACTACCTATACATATTAATTAGGAGAAAATTTTGCTTTAGGAATAACAGTCTCAGTAATACAGTAGATATGTAAACAGTGGAGTGGGTATGTCCAAGAAACATAAATGCCATGATTTCATTAGGAACTAAGTTCCTCAGAAACTTATTAATGAAATCAGCAGGTGACAGTGTTATTCCAGTATAGACTTTAGTTAGATAAGGATGTTTTTCACACGTTTAATTTGAAAGCTGCAAAGAAGGTCTCAGGAAGGGCTGACACAAACTGGAGCCCAATATAGTAATTCAAGTTAAGAATTCAAGTTAAAAACTACTAATTAAATACTTACCAATTGTCAAGTACTGGTCTAAGTGCTGGGGATAAAAATGCAAAGACAAACAATCCTTCCCATCAAAGATTTTACATTCTAACAGGGAAAGACAACATAAAAAAGAAAGATGAAAAGCAGGGGAGAGAAGGTATGATAAAGAATTCCTGAGAGGCAGGAGCAGGTCAGGGAGAGGAGTTAAGAGGAAGCATGGCAGCTAGGTGGCACAGTAGATACAATGCTGGGCTTGGAGTCTGGAAGACTCGTCTTCCTGAGTTCAAATGTGACCTCTGACACTTGTTAACTCTGTGATCCTGGGCAAGTCACCTACCCCGGTTTGCCTCAGCTTCCTCATCTGTAAAATAAACTGGAGAAGCAAATGGCAAACCATTCCAGTATCTTTGCCGAGAAAACCCCAAATGGGATCACAAAGAGTCAGACACAACTGAAAATGACTCCAACAACAACAACAACAACAACAACAAAATGGTGAGCCTGGGCACTTCCTCAAAATGGAAACTCAGGAAGGAACTCACCGGGGGAGGAGGGAGCAGCACGAGTAGAAGGATCTTCCAGGGTGAGAAGGTAGCCGAGAATGAATGGTAGAGAAGTCCAGAGCATCAGGAGAGGAACAAAGGAAAGATGGAGTCAGAAAAATAGAGAAAAAGAAAACACGAGCCGTATCTACAACATCAGGTCCCCTAAGAAAAGAGATTCCTGATTGCTCCAGACATTCTCCAGAAATGATTTTCTATTTATTTTCTACATATTTATATTAAACATATCTTAGGTGTGTGTGTGGTATTGCTTCCTACGTCATTTAATGTAGTGACAGAATATAATCACAGATGATGGGGCTTTAATGCATAAGTAATATGCCCTGATCTCTTTATCTCTCCCTCCCAGTACAATGAAAGCTCCTGGAGAGCTTTGACTGTTTTGATTCTGTTTTTCTATCCCGAACTCTTAGCATAGCATCTGATCCGTAGCGGGTACTTTCAATGTCATGCCCCATCTGCAGGCTCCTCCTAGAACATCCATTTTCCCTGCAGCCTTCTCACCCTAAAACATCCTCTGCTACGCTGGCCCCCTTCTCTCATGGGTGCATTCCTACTGGAACCTCCATTTTACGGAAGGGCCCAGGTCAACTGACTCTCCTTCACATCTTTGCTGTGTTTCTGAGTTTCTAGACTTGAAAAACCCCTCACCCTTATGGGTAACTTCACCATCACCCCTCTTTCTAGTTCTTTTGTCCTTTTGTCCACTTCCCTCATTAGATTGTAAGCTCTTTGAAGGTAGAAGAGTGTCTTTCTTTTTGCTTGTATTCATATCCCCAGCACTTAGCATAGTGCCTAGCATACAGTATGCACTTAATAAATGCTTGTCAAATTTAACCTAATAGCTGTAGGGGACTTTCCTTTTCCAGGTTCTGGGAGGAAGGCTTGCTACAAGAAAGACTTTTTCTAGGAGGAAAGCTTCCTAGGAGACTTTCTGCAGTATTTGTTAGTTCCTGTACTGAGCACTGAGCCTTCCTTGCTTCTTTGATTGGCAAATTTTTAACATCCTTTCCATTGACTTGTTTGCAATGCTGTGTGGAAAAGCCAGCATATGGAGCTTAGAGAGTATCTGACATATACAAACTAGATGATGATTTGATCTCATGTTGGTAAACTAATAATATTTAAACTTTTGTGTATGTGAATCTATACTCTGACAATTTTCTAAGAAACAATGAGCATGCAAAACATAGAAACTGCTATTGAAACTGGCTCCAAGTTAGGGAAATTACATTTAGGGGCTTGTGAGGCCTGTAAACCATAATCCAATCCATGCCTTTTCATTTCCTACTGGATTTTCAGTTTTGCTTAGTTGAGTGTGCCAAAATTAAAATGCCCCCAATGAGATCTGACAGGGAAATTCTACCAGTTTGGCTGTTGGAGCTGATGACAAGGCATTGATTTGCTACAGATTTTAATGTTAGAGTAACTGCTGTTTATTTCATCTGTTTCTTGAAGGCACTTTCTGTGAAAACATCCTGTCTGCAACCCTGGGGACATTTGGTTCAACTTGCACTTGTTAAAGGAGAACTGTCAGCTACCACTTACTTAGCTGGCTCAAAAAAATTAGGATTCTGACCATGAAACCAGCATAACTACCTTCCTTTTTGCTTTTCCGCGTCTTCCATGGAATGACCTTCAGCCTGAAAAAGTTCAACCAGAAAGTCATTGTTAATTACTGTCATTGCTTTTCCACACTGATCTGTAATACAAGGATCAGATGTAACCCAGTCAAATGCATTACAGATTTGCTACCTGCTTCCTTTAAAGGGCACCTCTGTCAATTTCACTGCCATTACCATCCCTTCATGCTCATTAAAACCCCAATTTTTATAGCTTCCCGGAGGCTTTTTTTTCTTGTTATACAATGTGAGTAAGGAATAATAACCTTTAAACTCTATTACCACATTCTTAGCAAGTATTACAAAGAAGGGAAAATATGGTAAGAAGCAAAGGCTGACAAAGGTTACTTTAATACTTAGCTAATTCTTTGACCCAATAGAAGCTGGCTCCTGGAAACCTCTTTCTTAATGTCTTAGCAATGTCACAACATATGCTGG